TGGCACCGTCTCGTCCCGTTACACGTAAGGTGGCATCGTCTCGTCCCGTTACACGTAAGGTGGCACCGTCTCGTCCCGTTACACGTAAGGTGGCATCGTCTCGTCCCGTTACACGTAAGGTGGCATTGTCTCGTCCGTTACACATAAGGTGGCACCGTCTCGTCCCGTTACACATAAGGTGGCATCGTCTCATCCTGTTACACATAAGGTGGCATAAGATGGAGCTAAATGCGAAGCCAGCTGACAACCACGACAAAGAACACATAAAAGGAGACACAACCTGGTCAACAAATGAGGTATCTATTAGAAAAGGGAATGAACTTTGGAAAGGTCACCAGAAAGAAGAAACAGGGAAACAGCAAACGTTTTTTTAAGGACCGAGGAAGACTACGGAAAGTAGAGCTTTCTCATTAGAAGTGTTCCCATTAGAGCTCAGAATGCCCCGTGGCTGGGACAGAAAGGAGGACAGGTGAAAGCAGAGAGGCTGGAAAGATGATGGGTGGGGATGGGGTTTGAACTGCTGAGTTTCTAAATGCAGCCCTCCCGGGGTTCAAACCTACCGCTCTGCCCAACTCCCTGCTGTGTAACCTGGGGCAAGTCACCCAGCCCCTCTGGTTCTTAGTGTCCTTTTCTGTAAAATGGGATTAATAAGCCCAAACACCAACCCCACAGCTGTGGTGTTGATTCTGTATGGAGAGTAGACCCGCCCCATTGTGTCTCCAAGGCTTGATTCATTAGGCAAGCAGACGGCTGCATCTTTCTCCCACCTTTTCGTTAGCGGGACAGTACTTAACACTGCACCCCCAGGGCTCCTGAACAGAGGCTACAAAGACAAACACACTGTCTTCTTGGCAATTCCGGTTCCTCGTGACCTGACAGGGCACAATAGAGCTGCCCACTAGGGTTACCAAGGCGGCCATCTGTATAGACGGAGACTGCCCCGGAGTGGCTGGTGGATTTGAACCACTGACCTTTGGGTTCACAGCTGAGCAGTTTACTGTGCCACCAGAGGTCCTGGAATGGGAACAGTATCTACCTGGAGAGGCTGTTGGGAGGAAACTGTACCTAGAAGCGTGCCTGACACCTGGTAAGGTCTGATCAGATGTTGGTTATCCTTCCTCTGAGGAGCCCTGGTGGCGCCTTAGTTAAGCATTTAGCTGCTCCCCGTATAGATCAGCACCTGGGGACCGTCCAGCGGCTCTGCAGGAGAAAGACCTGGGGGTCGTGTGCAGCCGTGAAAACCCGGTGGGACGACTGTACTCCGTCACACAGGGTTACTGTGAATCGGAAACAACTCAAAGGCACTCAACAACACCAACACCAACAACACCATTCTCCTCCTCAGCTCGTCAGTGACGCAAGTGGTTGGTTTGGGAGTAGCTGCGAGGCTGCAGGTTGGTGGCTCGAACCCACTCGTTAGTGAAAGCCCCCAGGACAGTTAGAAAGAGGAGACAGGCAGAGTGGCAGACAAAGGGTAGAAAACTCCAGTGACTAGAATGTTAGAACCACTGGCATTCTCTGGTCTGAGAACTGGAGAGTCTGATGCAGATCAGACACAGGGAACCCGTGACTCCCGTATCTAAAAGAACCAGCTTGAGAGACATGCGCAGAACTGGAAACTTGTCTTCTGAGGACCCCAGCCCAGAATAAGAACTGATGCAGAAACCACAGAATTCTTGTCAGGAACCAAAATGGCCGGATGTATGTCACCACGAGCTACCTAGATCTGCCTCTAAAGCGAGAGGTCCGATCACCACTTCCTGTTCTAAGGCCAAGCCTGTCCCTTTGTAAGGAATGCATGCGAGCCCCTCAAACTGGTAAGCGCATGCACAACTTCCTGGTGCTTTACGTTCCTTAACTCTGTTGCTCAGGGAGACAGTTTTGGAGAGACAATTTCCCCGGCTCCATTGCTCACAGCAATTGATACACGTGTTTCCCTTCTCTAGTGAAACTTCCTGAGGCGAGCCTACCATGGTGGGTAACAGTGGCTCTGCTGAACAAAGGCCTGGCAAATGGCTTCTGTCAAGATTACAGCCAAGAAAGCCTGTGGGGTCAGAGCTCCCTCAGCACACACCGGGCAGCCAGGAGTCCCAAAGGACTGGGCCGCATCGGGTTTGGGCTTTACTTTCTAGTCTCCACCTGGGGGCTCATGGTGACATCCCATCTTACAGAGACCTTATGGAGACCCTGGACTTGCAGTCCTCTCACTCACCGGGGCCGCGACGTCGTCTTGCTGGCTCTACCAGCCAGGGCGCCTTCCCCTTCTCCAGTAAAGTGATCACATTGGGCCTCCGGATGGAAAGTCCTGCACGAGGAGAAGAGAGAGACCCCACCGTGAGTGGGGGTGGGGGCTAGCATGGGAGCCTGAGCTCAGTGCAGTGTTCTGGGGTGAGTCCTCATTCGTTTATTTGGGGACCGGCTTTTACTTCAACACGAGTGTGCTAGGGTGATTCCTAGGTGTGGGGAAACCATGGATTTGACACATCCTTCTATTTTTTTTTTTTCTTTTATGAGAGGGAAAGGGTCAGCAGAAGACAAAATAATACTAACTAACACCTATGTGAGCAAATCTACTGCACAAGACCTCTGGGAACTGTTCAAGAGCAAAGATGTCCGTTTGAGGACTAAGGTGCGCCTGATCCGAGCCACGGTATTTTCAATAACCTCCTATGTATGTGAATGTTGGACAGCGACTACGGAAGACTGTAGAACGGATTCATTTGAGTTACGGTGTTGGGGAAAATTCTGAAATGACCATGGACTGACAAAAGAAAAAACAGATCTGTGATGGAAGAAGTATGACCAGAGCGCTCCTTAGAGACCAGAATGGCCAGGCTCTGTCTCTCATACTTCAGACATATTAACAGGACCAGTCCCTGGAGAAGGACATCATGCTTGGTAAAGTGAAGGGTCAGTGAAAAACAGGGAGACCCCCAGTGAGATGGCTTGGCACGGCGGCAGCAACAATGATTGTTAAGGGTTGTGAGGACCGTGCTGGACTGGGCAGTGTTTCCTTTTGCTGTGTCCAGGGTCTCTGTGAGTCGGAGCCAACTGGACGGCTCCTAACAAGGAGCACTTCAGAGCTCTGGTGGTGCAGTGGTTCACTGAAACACTGACAGTTCGAACTCACAGGCTGTCGCGTGGGAGAGAGATGAGGCCTGGGAAACACTGTGGGGCAGTTCCGGTCTGTCCCTCAGTCACGCTGAGTCAGAATCAACTGGACAGCGATGGGCTTCTGGAGCGTTGGGTTTTACGGAGAACTAACAGTGTGGAGCCATAGGACGAGCACTGGAGGGACCACGAGGTTGGTGGTTCCAATTGACCAGCCGCTCCTCAGAAACCCTATACAGGTCACTGTGAGTCAGAATGGACTCGGCGGCACTTAACACCAAGTGTGAGTGTGGTGGCTCCACAGTGTAAGCACTGACCATGAACCACAAAGTGGACAGCCAGGCTAGAGGCTCTCTGCTCTCCTAGAGATCCACAGCCTCAGGAAACCTAGACAGGGGCATTTACCAACTGCTTTGCTGAGCACTGAGCTAATAAAAGCTTTACCCTTATTTAATCTTCCCAGGAACCTTCCAGTCTGAGAGTGCTCACCCACCGGGATGGGGAGCCTGAGGGTGGGCCGAGTGAGGACCCAGTCCCAGCCAGCAGAGCCGCTTACTCCTGACTCCCAAAGGCTGTCACATGCTCCCCATAAGCTGCACCAGGAACTCAGGGGCTCTGCCAACCACAGTCCTCCTGGTCAGCTTCCGACACTGCCAGGGCCTGGAGGGGGGAGTGAGCCCCTGCTGGCCCCCATTCCTGTAAGTGTCCCCCACCCCCCACTGTAGCAGCAGCTCATGGATCAGTACTTCGTTCCTTTGTTTTGCTGAGTGCTCTGTACCCCCACCCCCAAATAAAGAGCCCCCGTAAATAGCACACAAACCAACATGCGAGGAGCTTGTACAGTTTGCAAAAAATATACATATATGGGGAGTCATTTGCATAAAACCACGGTAATAGACCCTTGTATGACCACATTGGTCAGCTGATGGACGTCTGGGTGTCTCCACTTCAGGGCGATTGTTAACAATGCTTCTGAGAACACCTGTGTATGAGTTTTTGTGTGGACACATTTCCGTGTCTACACGCTTTCATACAACCCAGTAATCCACAAAGGCAGAAAGCAGATAAGCGGTTCTCTAGGGCTGGAAGGTTTAGGGGGGTACTGGGGGCGGCTATTAATGAGTTCAGGGATTCTCTTGTTAGTGAACGTTTGTGCAAAAGTTGTTGTGTGGGCACATGTTGACGTATAAGGTGCGAGCCAGCCATTTCACTCTTTGTGGAGTGATGAAAATGTTCTAAAATTGATGTGGTGACGTTTGTAATTGATGTGGTGACGTTTGTAATTGATGTGGTGACGTTTGTAAGCATTCCAAAAACCACTGAACTACGTGATTTATATGGGTGACTTGGATGATATAGGAACTGTATTTCAGGAAAGCTTTAAAAAACCTGGGGCTTGCGAGGGCATATGGGGGAGTGCTGATGGGTAGGGGGTTCCCTTCATTAATAAAGCTGCTGTGAAGATTTGCATGCCAGTTGTGTGGACATGTTTTACACTGTTACATACGAGTGCTTTCATGTGCATCATATGACCTAGTGATGACTTCTTTTTTGGAGTGATGGAAATGTTCTCTAAAATTGATGTCGGGACGGACACAGCTACGCCAAAGACCACGGCAGCGGGAATTGTACAGGAGTGTGTGTGTGTGGTCCATGAATTCTATCTCAGCGAAGCTGTAAAACAAACACTGGTGAACTCCATTTTTCTGACAAGACCCTGACCTATGCCGTTCTCTAGAAAGGCTGGTTCTGAATGGTGGGTATGTCCCTAAAAACGGGTGTTATAAATCCTAACTTCAACACTCATGGAAGCAGCAGTCAAATGATGTATTACATTAGGCAAATCTGCTGCACGAGACCTCTTTAAAGTGTTCAAGAGCAAACATGTCAGTTTGAGGACTAAAGTGCACCTTACCCAAGAAATGGTATTTTCAATAACCTCATATGCATGCGAAAGCTGGACAGTGAATAAGGAAGACCGTAGAAGAATTGATGCATTTGAGTTATGGTG